CACTCAATATTTTGCCTATAGAATCTTTCAACACTGCAACTCGAAGCTTGACTTTTTTTCCCTTTGAGTTCTTTCAGTTTATGCCAGCTGTGTTTCTCCTTTTGGGAACCCCAATCTGGAGCCGTCCATGAATACCTGGCGCCCCCACGTGTTACAGAACAGAACTGCGCTGTGTTTTCCTTTGAGGCAATCGTTAGGGAAGCACTTTCTCGGTGCCAATGGTGGGGTGCAGACCGTGTACATAAGTCCTGATGAATTATTGGAGGAGAAAGTCAAGAACACAGTCTGGGAAACGCGCAGCTCTGTGCCCACTATTGGAAAGGCCGACCCAGCCCCCTCTCCCAGTCCGGATCTCCCTGCGGATGGGGCGCAGGTTCGGGCCCCGGGGCCTGTGGTCCCTTGGGAAAGAAGCGGCTGATATGCCCTGGGAACCCAGCTCAGTTCCATCGGAGCCCGGCACCAGGCGGTTCCCACGCTCGCGCGCCCTCTCGTGGCCTCCGCCGAATCGCAGACATTCAGGTGTGCATTCTAAAGCCAGGGAGGAAACAGATGTGGGGGTGGGGGCACCCCTGCCTTGCTTAGAGGGGACAAGCAGTGGCACAGTATTCTCCTGTCTTCATCAGGAAGTGCTTCAAATCCTCTTCCTTTCAGCAAACAAGGTTGCGTCTCTGCATGTTGCAGATGATTAATGGGTCTTCCTCAAATCCCAAACTCACATTTTTCTTCCTCTCACCCAAACCAAACTCACTGCCATCGACCTGACTCATAGTGACCCTACAGAGCAGGGTAGGACTACCCCCGTGGGTTTCCGAGGCTGGAACTCTTTACAGGAGTAGAAAGCCTCATCTTCCTCTGGAGGAGCAGTTGGTGGTTTCAAACTGTTGATCTTGTGGTTAGCTGCCCAAAGGTGTAACCCGCGATGCCATCGTGGCTTCTTTTCTTCAGGTAGTTCATCTTTTTCACACACATAGGAAGGACAGACGAATGAGTACTAGCTCACTTGGCCATCTCTTTATTTAGCAAATATTTATTGGGAGTCCCATAGGTGGCAAAGACACAAGGCAAAAAATGTGTATTTGTGAGCCTTAGGAGAAAACAAAACAAACAGTCTCTAGACAAAAAAGGAAGTGTCCAATCAGCACAGAAAACTAGACAAAAAAGGAAAGCCTGACCTAACCTTTGGATACACAAATTAACCTGAATATACAAAAGAAAACAGAACTGTTATCTTTTAGCTTCTTTCTTGGAGCCTAAGTCACAGTGGAAAGCTAAGCACTTGTCTGGTCTGGAGGGAATCGGATTCCAGGATGGTGGAGAGATAGTGGCTGGCCCTTTGCTGCTCATCCCTGGTCAAGACAGGCATGGAAAATGAGGGGCTCTAGTGGGTGAAGGAAGGTAGGTTCACCTGCCCCCTCTCCCCACCATCCCAGGAGGGCTCAGTCAGGACCGTGGAGCAGGGATGAGGTGAAGGAAAGCAGAGGCTGCTTAGCAGGGAACCTGATCAAGCCAACTTTCTGTCCAAGCTGAGCATTTACTGGGGTATGCATTTGGCGGAGTGTCTCTCAACCTTCCCTTCCCAGTACTTTTTAGATCAGCCTCATTGCTGCTGAGATGTGGTAGGAAACGTGCAGCAAGGCCTGGCTTCCTTTGGGTGGTGTCATATCGTTAGGCTAGGTGCTTAACACTTGTGAGCCCTGGCTTCCCAACAAAGCAAGTTGGCAGATGGACGGTTTAGGGGAATGCAGGGACACTGACTATCCTAATTTCTTTGAGCAGTTTGGAAGAAATCTCAAGTTATGTGGCTCCATGGGCCAGACAGAAAGAAATGTAGGACAGAAGCTGATACAACGGGGAGAATCGATAGCTGATGGGATCTGTAGCTGTGTCCAGAGCTTTGAATAATAGATCAGTGTCCACAGGGAAGAAAGTGTCGGGTGCCCTGATAAAGGCCGTCCCCAGTTCTCTGGTGCCCAATACTCCGTTAAGCAGCTGGCATACACCCCTCGAAGAAATGCTTACTGGTGCTGAGGATGAAACAAATCAGGGTTTACTGAATCAGGACTTGAAAAACACGCCAGGCTGGAGCATTCCCACTCCCCCTCGCAGTGCAGTGAATTCCTTGATACGGCCTTCCTGCCTTTGTTGGTGCTGTTAGGGCCATCGAGTAGGTTCCCACCCCCAGTACTACAGAACGAAATATCGCTCAGTCCTGTGCTGCCCTCGTCTTGTTCCTATCCTTGAGTTCATCGAGGCGCCGGTAAATGACTGGGTGCTGTTGTTAGGTGCTGTGTCAGGCCCGTAACAACCTTATGTGCAACAAAATGAAACACTGCCTGCTCCTCTGCCATCCTCACAATTGTTGTTTGGCCCATTGTTATAGCCACTGTGCCAAGCCATTTCCTTGAGGGCCTTGTACCATCTCGCTGATTTCACCAAGCATGATGTCCTTCTCCAGGAACTGCTCTTGCTTGATAATATGTCCAAATTACATAAAAATGCTTGCCCTCCGTTCGTCTAAGGAGCATTCTGGCTGTACTTCAGGACAGATTTGTTGATTTTTCTGGTTGTCAACCACGATTCTTCTGAGGTCTTCCTTATTCACTGTTCAGCCCTCACATGTACATGAGGCTACTGAAAATGCTTTGTGTGACAATATTTTCTTTTGTAAGGATGAATACCCAACTAGTGCCAAGGAGTTGGAAATGGAAAAACATCCCCAAAGTCCAACTCTTGGAAAATGACAGTCTATTCCACTCCCCCGCCACGCCTCCCTTGAGTCTGTTCCCTCATGTCTTTGGGGTCTGCAAATCACTTGTTGGTGGGTGCAGTTCCGGCCAAACTCTGAGGGTCAAGCAGGTTACTGGTAAGATGGATGCTGGGGCCAGAGGACGCACTCCACTGCTGGTGCTTGCTGGTGAGGAAACTCACTGTATACATTGCATATGCAGCAGGACTGTGCTGCAGGGAATCTTGTTCACAATTACTTGCAGGGGAACCCTGTCAGTATTTTCCCCAACTTGCTTGTATAGGTCGAAGGGGACTACAGAGGGGTGGGTAGGGGGTTACTGGTTCAATCTAGCATGAAGCAGCTTTGTGGAGAAGATTAAAAAAATTTAGAAGAACTCAAATGATCATACACAGGTTTCTTCTCTCCTAGAACATATCCAAACTTGTTTCATTGATTTTTTAACACAAGAATGAATACCCACAAGATGAAGTCCCTTAGCCCTTTGAGATCATTTCCATTCTGCACACTTAAGTTGTCACAGGCGTTTCAGGGTGCACAAGAGACCCCAACTCAAATATAACTTAAGGAGAGCATTTATTAAGTCTTAATGGGACAGAGACAGGATAAAGACAAAGGCACATCAGCTGGATGAGGGAGACCTTTAGGATGAGATCATAATGGTGTTTACAAGTACTTAAGTACGTATGGAACACAGCGGGAACTGTCACAAATTCATGGCTGAAATATTATTTCAGTGGCAAATCAATACATCAGTTACAGGAACAGCTGATAACAGGGGCTCAAATAGAAAGTGTTTATAAAATGATGATGGCAACATATATACACATATGCTTGATACAATTGATGTATGGGTTGTTATAAAAGCAGTAAGGGTAGCAATAAAATGATCTTAAAAGACAAAAGGAATGGAATCATAATTTGGGACATATACATTCTTTTTTAAAATCACTTTACTGGGGGCTTGTACAACTCACCACAATCCATACATCCATTGTGTCAAGCACATTTGTTGCCATCATCATTCTCCAAACATTTTCTTTCTGCTTAAGCTACATATAACCCCCTCCCTGGGGGATGGACAACAGAAAAGTGGGTGAAGGGAGATGTTGAACAATGTAAGACATGATGAAATAATAATAATTTATAAATTATCAAGGCTTCGGGAGGAAGGGGACAAAATGAGGAGCTGATAGCAAGGGAGATATACTTTGTTACACAGGAGTTTGCAAAATCGGTCCAGGGCCTTTTACCAAGGTAATCAGGGATGGTTCATAGGGCATGATTCATGGCTTGGTGGGTGGGTGGGTGGGGGCGCCCTCAGTACGGGGCTCTCCCAGGCAAGGCCCGGCTCCCCTCAAGACAGCCCCTCCCTGGGCTGGCTGAAAAGGGGGTTTGAGAATACATTGGGAATACATCCCAATGCATTCTGCCAGTTGGCAAGACCGCTCTCCTCCCTCGCTAATGATCAGCGTTAAGTAGAGGCTTAATCTTCGGTGGGAGCTCCAGCAATGGAGTGTGGGTGTTCGCAGTCATCCACAGCCGACTGCAAATGGGGCGCTCAGAATCTAAGTTCCACTACACGGGTCTGGAGGCCCCCAAACAAAAAAACGAACCCACTGCCACGTTGTCAACGCTGCCTCGCAGCGACCTCGCTGTGGGTTTCTAGGACAGCAACTGCTCCCGCGCGCAGAAGGCCCGGTCTTTCTCCCGCACAACTGCTGGTGGTTTCGAACTGCCGACCATGCGGAGCGCCACCCAACAAGTAACCCGTACACCACCGGGACTCCTCGGTTTGGCTTGGCTTTGCACCTATGTAGAGCCATGACTTCAGGCCCAGGTCAATTTGGCACCACGCTTAAGGGGTCGCGGGCAGGCGGCGGGGAGGGCGGCCGTGAGGTGGGGCCCCGCACGGAGGGTAGCGGTGAGCTTTGTGGAAGGCGGGGGGCGGGTGTTGAAAGGCCGTGGGAGGAGGGCGGCGGCGAGGTGGGGCCTCCGGGGGAGCAAGGAAGCGGTGGGACCCAGCCCGGAGAGACCGAGGGAGGTGAGGCGGTCCACGTTGCCGCTCCAAAGCCCCGCGGCGGCCGCCCAGCTCGTACTGCGCTCCGATTGGCCGCGCCCGGCCGCGTGACCGCCCCAGCTGGGTACGCACTTCCGGAAATACCGGAAATAGCGCCTCCGCCCTGCCGCGCCCCTGGGGGAGGCGGAAGTGGAGCCGCTGAGTCTTCCCCCCGGACCCCGCCGGCACGTCCGCCCTGCCGCTGGGCCCATGGCGTCCTACTACCGCCCCGGCTCGGGCGCCGGCGCCGCCCCGGCCCCGGGCGCCGCGCTGCCGGACCAGAGCTTCCTGTGGAACGTCTTCCAGAGGTGAGGCCCCCCGGGAGAGCGGACGGCCGAGCGCCCCGTTTGGGGATCGTTGGCTGTTTTCGGGGAAACGGGGAGAAGGTGGAGGAGGCCGGGGCCCCAGGGCGCCCCGCGGGTGGGGCGCGCTGCCCGGGGGGGCCTGCCTCCTGACCCCCGGCTCGGCCGGGCCCCGTGATTTCCTAGGGTCGACAAGGACCGGAGCGGCGTGATCTCGGACAACGAGCTCCAGCAGGCGCTTTCCAACGGTGAGTGCCGCCGCCGGAGCTCCCAGCCCGCGCGCGGCTACCTTCGGTTACCTGAACCGGCAGCCCGGGGTGGCGCATGGTTTACCCGTTGGGCCGCTCACCGCCAAGTCAGCAGTCGGTCGGTTAGTCTCCGCAGT